TTAGCATGGTCAATCCACCCTAACCTGCGCATCCCTGGACACTGTGGGCAATTTAGCATGGTCAATCCACCCTAACCTGCACATCCCTGGACACTATGGGCAATTTAGCATGGCCAATCCACCTAACCTGCGCATCCCTGGACACTATGGGCAATTTAGCATGGCCAATCCACCCTAACCTGCACATCCCTGGACAGTATGGGACAATTTAGCATGGCCAATCCACCTAACCTGTACACCCCTGAACACTATGGACAATTTAGCATGGCCAATCCACCTAACCTGTACACCCCGGAACACTATGGGCAACTTAGCATGGCCAATCCACTTAACCTGAACATCCTTGAACACTATGGGCAATTTAGCATTGTCAATCTACCTAACCTGCACATACCTGAACACTGTGCACAATTTAGCATGGTCAATCCACTTAACTTACATACCCATGAACACTATAGGCAATTTAGCATGGCAAATCCACCTAAGCTGTACATCCCTGAACACTATGGACAATTTAGTATGGCCAATCCACCTAACCTGCACATCTTTCGGCTACTTCACAAAGTGATCAATTGAGCTGCCAAATGAGCAGCTCCAGTCAGTAACAGCAGCCATGGGATTGTTAATAAGGGGGAACTCAAATGAAAGGCAACAACCTCGCAGAGTTATGAGGAAGGGTCACTCAATCTGGAATATTATCTCTGATTTCTGTCCACAGATGCTGCCAGACCTGCTGAGCTTTTCTGGCAATTTCTGTTTTTGTAATCTCGCAAGAGTTGTTAGGTTACCCTGAAAAGGGGCAATTACTTTCAAATCAGTAAGGTGTTTGACTGTGATGGGCAAGGGCATAAAGGCATCAGAAAGGTGAATAAAGATACAAGTTCAGGCCAAATGACTCTGAAATCCATGCTGTTTGTATTCCTGGGAAAATATGGCACTGAGGCATCAAGAAGAACCTTTTTTTATATTCATTCATGGGATGAGGGCATCACTGCCTAGTCCAGCAATTATTGCCCATCCCTAATTACACAGAGGGCAGTTAAGAGTCAACCACATTGCTGTGGAACATGGTAGCCCAGGCATCACGGCTGTGCAAAACGTGCATGTGGCACTGGAGAAACAAGGGAGTTTACTGATCTCACTGGGGACATAGGTGGGCATGTATCAACTTGCAAGGGGCTCTTGTGGCACAGTGGTACTGTCCCTACCTCTGAACCAAATGGCCAGGGTTTAACAGCATTGTGGGTCGACCTACAGCACATAGACTACAGCAGTTCAAGAAAGCAGCTCACCACCACGTTCTCAAGGGCAACTGGGGACAGGCAATAAATGCTGACAAGCCAGCAATGCCACATTCCATGAATTAATTAAAACAATTGCTCCAAAAGTGTGGAGCAGGTCTCTGAACAGGTTGATTAGAAAATATCAACTTGTGTTCATGCACAGTGACACTAATATCACTTCAAAGATTTCTACGTTGGTTTCATGGGAGTAATTGGTTAAGTTTTTATATGCTTCTTAAGATTGTGTATTTGGTCAGTACAGTATGGCCAAACTGCAAATGCCGCATGGATATTTAATCATAGCTACAATTGAAAATGCTGGAAATACTGATCAGGCTGTGTCTGTGGACACAAAAACTTTCAGATTGATGACCTTTGAACTCAGCCTCTCTTCACAGTTGCTGCCAGACCTGCTGTGTACTTCCAGCACTGTCTGTTTTAGTTCAGATTTCCAGCAGCTGCGGAGTTTTATTTTGGTATTAGTCACAAATGGAATCCTCTCCAACTACATGATTTCTCTGCAACCTCCTCAACTTCCTTTGGCACAATTAGTCTCATCATCCTCCTTCAACACCTCTGCCCTGATATTTAGCTCAGTGAAGCGGCCCTTATTTATTAGGTTTGCTAATACCGATCTGATTGAAGTTTGAATACTTCCAGCAATTACTTCTCTTTAAAGACCATAAGACACGGGGCAGAAGTAGGCCATTCAGCCCATTGAGTCTGCTTCACCATTCAATGAGTTTGTGGCTTATCTGATAATCCTCAGCTCCCAGTTTATTGCAGCCTTGAATACGATTAATGCCCCAACCTCAACAGTCCTCTATAGTAAAGAATTCCACAGAATAAAGAAGACATTCCTCCTCATCTGACTTAAATAAATGACCCATTGCTCTGAGATTATACCCTCTGGTTGTGCACTCTCCTACAAGAGGAAACAAGCTTTCTACATCTACCCTGTCATCTACTTCTCTTTCTACTCCCTTGCCACCCACCATGTCTGGGGTACCCTAAGCATCTACAAATGTTCTCCTTCTTCTCTTCATATTTTCATGAAAATCTTTGACCACATCATCCTCATGCAAAGTATCAGCTTTCATACATACACTGTTTTCGCACAGGTTCAGCCATCCACCACTTGGAGTCATAGAGGCGTAGAGATGCACAGCACAGAAACATGTCCATGCCCATTGTATATCCTAAATTAATCTGATCCCATTTGCCAGCATTTGGCCCAGATCACTCTAAACCCTTCCTATTCGTATACCCATCCAGATGCCTCTTAAATGTTGTAATTGTACCAGCCTCCACCAGCTCTTCTGGCAGCTCATTCCATACACGCATCACCCTCTGCATGAACTTGTCTCAATACCTCCAATCCCTCAGTGATGTAAAACTACCTGTTTGGCATCTAAACTTCAGTGAGTCACAATGTCAAACTTTGCCACAGACAACTCAGCTTCCCCTTTCAAATTCTATTCCTCCTTGTTTTGAAGCTAATTTAAAAAATAATCACTTGAGTGGACACCTCTGCATTATTTTCTATGCATGCCATCTGTAATCTTAGAGTCAAAACTCCTGAACCTCCTCACCACCAAATCAATTAACATCAAGAAAATGAACTGTTCCAGAAATAATGATGAGTGACAATCATTTCATGTTTTGTGAAATCAAAATCTAATATTTGTTTGAAAACATCAAGCAAATCATAATTTTACTACCATAGTTTTATTGCCATTTGTATTCACAGAAAATTTACATTTATATGGTGCTTTCTATGATCACAAGCTGTCTCAAAAATATTTTGATTTTATTTATTTACTTATTGCTATGTGTATCTTGTTACAAAATACGGTGGAAAGTTTTGTATAGTGTTACCACTCTCTAGCACCATTTTAAACACAGAAAAATAAACCAAAACAAAGAATATAAAGGCAGAAAAATAAAGATATAAAGCAAGTGGCCAACTGAACAGTCCTTCTTGTTCTGCGCTCAATCATAGGCCTGATGGCCAGGCATGAGCCCTGTTTGCTGTGCTGCTGCCATTGGAATAAAAGTTGCTATTGTTCTGCATTATCTGACCTCCACCAATGCCCTCACCACCATGGGTCTTCGCTGGACCTCGCCAATGCGCATGCCACTGATCCTGCTGGACATTGCCGCCAAAAGTCCACTTCAGGCCTACCTCACCGGTGCAGCTGCTGCCGATGCCATTGGGTCTCATACTGGGCCCAAACTTGCCTCCACCACCGCATCCATGAATCTGCACTGGAAGCCGATGCTGTTGGAAACCCAAACTTGCCTCTGCAGCAGCAGCCATGAGTCAACACTAGGACTACTTCAACAATGCAGATGCTATCAGGAACCCAAACTCGTCTCTAATGCTGCTGCCACGATTCTGCACTGCTGGGCCCACTCAAGTCCGTGCTGCTGGGCCCACTCCCTGCTGCTGGTACCATCACCGCGACCAAGCTCTTCAACAACAAGTAAATAAACTAAAATTGAAAAGCAAAAAAAAAATGAGAGAAGAGAAAAAAAGAAACAAAAAGAAAAGCAGATGGAGTTGACGAGTCCCAGGCACGGAACACCTACTCCACCGCCATCTTGTCTGACTTTACTGTCTTAGTAACTACTTTTGAAATGTGGTTTCTGTTCTCATGTAGGAAACATTGTGCATAGTAAGGTTCAGCAACAGCAAAGAGATGAAGATCAGATAATCTGCCATTTAGTAATGTCGATCCGAGGAATAAATATTGGCCACGACACAAGGAAGAAATTGAGATAACACAGTGTGGAGCTGGAGGAACACAGCAGGCCAGGCAGCATCAGAGGAGCAGGAAAGTTGACGTTTCAGGTCAGAACCCTGCATTCCTCCAGCTCCACACGGTGTTATCTCTGACTCCAGCATCTGCAGTTCTTACTGTCTCACAAGGAAGTTTGCCTGCATTTCTTGGCAACACTACCATGGGATCTCTTATATCCACTGCAAGGGCAGACCTACCTCGTCTAAAGATGCCACCTTTGACAGTGCAGCGCGCTCTCATTACTGCACTGGAGTGTCAGCATAGATCTTGTGCTCAAGTGTTTAGTGTGGTGATCATGATTTTCTGACTCAGAGGTGACAGTGGTGCTGCTTGCTAAATCATGTCTTTCACCATTTTAAC